GCAACAAACGTTCAAGTACCAAGCTCTTTTGTTCAGAGACGCGTGAATATCTCCTTTCAAAAGCTCTTTTGTTCAGAGACGCGTGGGCATATCATCAAAAGCTCTTTTGTTCAGAGACACGTGAACATTTCCATCAAGCTCTTTTGCTTCAGAGACGCGTGGGCATATCATTCAAAAGCTCTTTTGTTCGGAGACGCGTGGACATATCATCAAAGATCTCCTATTTTCAAGCTCTTTCACTCAGAGACGCGTGGGCATCCTATTCTCAAGCTCTTCGTTCAGAGACGCGTGGACACATCATTCAGAAGATCATATCAAAAAGAAGCTCTTTGTTCAAAGACGAGTGAACATCGAAACAGCAAGGTGGAGTTCCCTAGATTGTGGAGAGTTGTCACAAACAACTGAGGATTGTTTCAAGAGAAGCAATCTTCGATAGTATTCCCTTGGACGTGGAGTATTATCATAGCGGAAGAGGATTGTTTCAAGTGAAACAATCTTCGATAGTGTTCCCTTGGACGTGGAATATTATCATAGCGGAGGAGGATCGTTTCACGCGAAGAAATCTTCTATATTGAAAGCAATTACAGGTGTAGCGGTTTTCAAGCGGGATGGCATTCTCTAGCTTGCAGGAGGTCATCAAAACAAATTGGTTACTTTCAGAGACGTGTGCTCGACGGTGCAAGATACGCGTTTCTTAACTCTTTTATATGTTTAACTAACGCTAGTTTGCAGGTATCGGCGTTACAAGAATGATTTAGGATTGCAGAACGTTCTGAATCATTCTCCGTCCCTATCGCTACTTTGACTTTTGTTTTCGAAACTTGCGTTTCTCCAAACTCAGTCAAAGTGGGGGCTTCTGTAGACACCCATTTGTGTCTCCCTAAAATCAAACCCAGTGATGAGTACTTTTCACGTCGAATCATAATCGAATGAAGCAAAACGGTGAAAAGTTTAGTGTTGCGGATAGTTTTAATTTCTTTTCTTTTCTCTTCTCTTTGTTTTTTAAAACTTATTTTAAGAAAACAGTCAATCCAGTTTGGTTGGTCCAAGATATGGGTCCAATAGTAGTGTATTTGGATGGGGCTTGACAAGAGCTTTCCAACGATATATTATAAGCCCAATTCCGATGAATATTGAGAAAGTTATGGCCAATTTACTAAACTGGGCCCGGTTTGAGCTTTATATGCGGCCCAATGATCTAGGGGAGGGCCTAATATGATTTATCATTCCTAATGCAATTAGGAATGGTTTTAGTCTTCTAGATTCTTCTAGAAGGTTCTTTTCATTCCTAATTCAATTAGCATTGATAAATTGACTTTTGTTGACTTTTCAGAGTTTTAATTAAAATCAAAGAGCATTTTTGAGGAAAATACGATTTTATCCTCCTGTACGGTAATTTTTATCTGATTTTAGAAAACGCATGAGTTTCTGAAACCAGCGCCAAACGCCAGCTGTAGCGCCTGGCGCTAGTGTTGGCCCCTGGCGCCAATAGCCAGCGTTGGCGCTGGTTCTGTTTTTTGTGCGCCAATGCTCTGTTTTAATAATTTTATCTTTTTGGCTGATTTTCTCTATAAATAACGTCGTAAAAACTCTGTTTTGATGGACCTACAACCAGTTTTCATTCTCTAATCATTCACCATCTTTCTTTCTCTCTTTTTCTAAACTAGCTTTTTAAATACAAAATTCTGCATTCATTAGATCTAGAAGCACCTAGCCATATTCGAAGTTGCCTTCGCCCTAGCCGTGAAATGTTTAATTTCTAAGGGTTTGGTCCCAAATCTCTCTTTCAATTATTTAATTTAATTGTTTGATTATTATTTTCCTTGAAGTTACTAACGTGTGTATTTTGTTATTAGAAAGACGTACGAGGCATCAAAGTAAGTGCTTTAATGTTTTTATTGACGTTATGATGTAGAAATCATGTTTAATTTTTATTTTGATTCCTAGTATCATGTCTAGGGTAAATTTAATATCAAGTATGATTAAAAGTATGATGCCTTATATGTTCTTCCTAATATTTATGATTCTTAGTATCATGTTAGAGTTAAATATTTGATTTTTATTTCTTAGTGACATGCTAGGGTTTGTTATTAATATTGTTAGTATCATGCCTAGGATCTTGCTATTATTATGCTTTAGCGTTGATATGATTATTTTAATCATGATTATTATTATTATTAATTATGATTGTTATTATGATGATTATAATTGTTATTATTTTTAATGATTATTATTATTATTATTATTATTATTATTATTTATAATGTTGCTTGATGCTTAGTTATTGTTATTGCTTGATCACACCTTTTATGCATGTTTAAAGGGAATTGGTGCTTGTAATCACGCTTAATAAGATAATTAATAATCTTGTTTAGGGTTAATGTGATTATAATTCAAGTGATCGCCAATAATAGACTTATATGTGCATTAATATTCAACCAACATAGATAAACAGGTTTAGGGTAAACCTATTGATTATATGATAGTCAGAAAGCGCACATGAATACGATCTGAATAAAGTAGAGGCCTATTATTATGGCAGGTTCAATCTCTTTTAGGTTGGATTTGTACCTTCATCCCCGAACCCTTATTTGGTTTAAGACCTTATGGAGTTGACGATCTCTTGGATCGTTAAGGGGTGTAACCTTCACTCTGTGAACGGTTTACAAGTTCCTAAAACTTGTTGGCGACTCTTTTGCTCTATCTTCTTTCCTTTTGGACGCCACCGTACTTTAGTGTATGGTCACAATGGGGTTCAAGCAAGGGGGTTAACGCTTGAAATTTATTCCCCACAACTATGTATCAAGTTCAATGAGGAACTTGTGAGTAAAGGTATGTGTATAATAGGTTGTAATTTGGGATTGCCCTATTATAGTGAAGTGATTTGGTTTTGGAAATCCCTAAGAAGGGTCGAGGTTTTACTTCCAGTTCGGCCCTGGAATGTTTCCTCGTAAAAATCTGTGTGCATTGCAAGTTCCTCTACAGTTTATTTATATTCCGCAAAAAGTAGCTATAGGAACTCACATACAATTCACCCCCCTCTTATAGTGTTCGTCTCAACTAACAGTTGGTATCAAAGCACGGTTCTCACGTGCAAGTAGATAACTTTGCTGAGTAAGTTCCTGAGGCGAGATGAATTACAAGGAGAAACTTGAAGAAGGGTATTCTACCTAACGTCCACCTATGTTAATGGTACATTTTATATCTACTAGAAAAATAGGAAGGAGATTTTCATCAAGGCTGAAAATTACCAGGCATGGCGTGTCATTGAATCTGGTGATTTTGAGGTAACCGCAACCAATGACAAAAACGAGGTATTTCCTAAACTTATTTCTGATTATGATAAAGAAGACTATTATAAACTTGAGTTAAATGCTCTAGCTATTAAATATTTACACTGTGGTCTTGGACCCTTTGATCATTATCGTATTATGTGGTGTAAGACAGCTAAACAGATTTTAGATTTACTAGAGGTAACTCAAGAAGGAACTAATGAGGTAAAACGTTCTACGATTGATTAATTGATGTCTAGGTATGAGAGGTTTGAAATGCGGTCTAAAGAAACCATAACATAATTGTTTACAAGATTTAATGATATATTTAATGAAATGAGTTCCCTTGGAAGGCACATTCCTATAGATAAACAGGGAAGAAAGATCTTGAGGAGTCTACCACAAGATGAACGCTAGAGATCCAAGGTTACTGCAATGCAAGAAGCTAAGGACTTCACTAAGTTCAATATGGAACAGCTAGCAGGTTCCCTGATGACTTATGAACTTCACCTGAGTTCTAATACTAAAAGTTTCAAAAACAGAGTCTTGCTCTTAAGGCACAGGACTTAGATGACTCAGAAGTTGACGAGGATGAGATGGCAATGTTAGTAACAAGGTTTAAGAGAATGATGAATAACAGGAAGTTTGTTAGGAACAAGAAGACTACAAGTTCCAGAGACACTACCTATTTTAGATGTGGCTCAAACGATCATTTTATCAAGGACTGTACAATCAAGGAAGGTGACAAAGGAAATACTAAAAAAAAAGGAGCAATCCAAGGATTCTTGAGTCTATAAGCAATACTTTACTAAGGACAATGTAAATAAGGATATGATGGCTGTCTGAGGAGACACAGACTCAAAAGAAGAAGAAGACCAACCTTCAGATGAAACTGCACATCTATGTCTAATGGCCAAAACTGATGAAAAGACCAAACTAAAGGAACTCGAGGTCGAGGTATGGTTTTCTAAAAATGAACTAAGACATTTCTCTAAAGAAAAACTAATATGTGTTGTTTAAGATTGATACGTGTCGTTTCCCGTATAAAATTAATTAATAATTTACCTTAACTTAAACCTCAAAAATATTAACAACTAGTAAAAAGGGTAAGTAAGGGTCGAACCCACGAGGAGATTGGTTAACTCTATAAACTCAAAATTAAACTCGAAACGTAAACTATATACATAAAAGAGTATTATTCACACTATGTACATGAGATTTGGGGGAGTTTAAATGATAATAGTCAACTAATACAACTATGAAAAATAGGATCTAAACTACTATATACAATTGACGACAGACTTAACCAACCCTATTCATAACTTTACTCGATTTAACTTATTGGAAATTATAACTAACCGGCCTTGCACGATTAATCAACTTAATTACTAGACTAACTGTAGAGACTTTAGTAACAAAGACTCCCTATCTCCCTTATTTGAAACCAATTGCGAACTAAGCCAAAATCGACTCTAAACCATTCTAATTAACACAAATATGTTGCAACTTGCATGAATTAGTCTTGGCAGCATTAATATCTAGGAGACCTCATTAGTCCTAACTAATCTAATCACTTAAATGTCAGATTAATTAGATTGAAATTGCTTTCTAATTTAAACCAAACCGTAATCGCAGACTCGATTTAAAATTAGGGACTACTCTCCTATACGATTCAAACTAAGCCAAACCATATAGATAGCAATAATATACAACTAACAACATGAAAGATAACAATCAATATCGAATTGCAAATTTATTAATCAAGAACAAGCAAATTTCAAATACCAATTAAATCGAAAAACATAGTACTATCAAGATTCAATTATAATACCAATAAACCAATAAAAGTATCTCATCAAATTAGCAAAGAACATCAAATAAATCAGTAATATGGAACAATTAAGTTAAGAAGAAGACTTATGAAATAAACTCCCAAGAACACCCGAATAAACCCGGCTTCGACCCCGCGATTCACCTTCGTTCTCGTACTACCTTGGATGCGAGACTAAGCTGACCTCCAATGGCTATCTTCTGTTCACCAATTGCCCACTTACAAACTCATTCGAACGATCTCGCTCTTTGTATAATTGTTGGCTAAGTTGTGTGTTTTTAATTGGAGAAATACGAGCTGAATTTATAACCAATTGCATGAACTGAATTTGCGAATTTTTCTTGGCCAAAACTCTATCTTGTGAATCTGATATCTTCATCGCATTACTCATCGGAGGATTTAGATAAAATTGCAATATTGATGGGATTTGGATGATTATCTTTTCATTGTGATTTGGGTCTTCTGCTGACTTCACGCCTAACTCCTTATCTTCTTCTTATTTTTTTTTCCTTTTTGTTTTGCTTCTTTTATTTGATGATGAAAGAGCACGTGAATGTGAATTAGATAACCACACAATTTGGTCCTCCTTTGATGCTCTACAATAGCCAAATCCACTTCATACTCCACTTTCTTTCCTATTAAAAACAAACAAAGTATTATTAAGTATCAGTTATTATAATAATTGCTATAAAATAAAATACTAACATAAAATAAGAACTATAAATATTAAATTGACTAATTTATTAAAATAAATAAAAGAAAATGATTATAAGACTAATATTAGGGACTAAAAATATGGTATATTATACACTTATCAAATTCCCCCACACTTAGTCTTTGATCGCCCTCGAACAAACTAAATAAAACTAACTTATAAAAGCAATAGACCTAACTCACTGTCGTAGGAATCATGGTTACACTTAGCATGTGCAACAAGCCCTTTAAACATGAGGACATACCCACAAAGTCTCTTCATTTGGAATCTTTGAACCAATCAGCAAATACAACCAAAATATGCATTCCCAGCAAGCATGGACCATATATTTGACATTTATAAAGATTTTAACACCCTCAATGTCCGACGTCGTATCATTTCCGTTTCTCACCTTTATTTTTATGTATTTGATTAGATGTCTCTGATCAAAATAACTTTTATGGAATGTAAAAGGAACAAGGTAAACTAGAGGTGGGAGATATGTTTAGGCTTGTAGTGGTACAGGTGGAAATTAGTAGAGCACATTAGTAGTACATTTATATCACACATCTCTAACATTGAACTTAGACATACTTTCCTTCTTTCTTTTTTTTTTTTATCTCTGGACTCTTAATGCTTTGTCTCTGTCAAATAGTTCTTGTAGCGAGTGTTCGACCAGTGACTCCCGGTCCAATTGGCCCAAGGCACTAGGTTTTAAGATACCCCTACGGATCTACTTACTCGAACTACTTAAGCACGAGATAAAAACATCACACGTACATAACTGGGTTTTGAACTTTCTTTTTTTTCATGTATATATATATGATTCACTTTTTAAAACCCAGACATTGGTACACAGAGCCTTCAAATCTAAAAATTTTCATTATAAAACCACCAAATAATGACAACCACCATTCCACTTTACATCACAATTTAACAATATGCTCTACTAATCCCAAAAGGTGTTTTAATTGTTTTCTGGACAGCAGCACATTTGTGAGTTTTATATGATAAGAAAACAAACTTAAGCTCAAATTGGCTCAATAATTGATGATGTTAATGGAAGGCTTTGAGACATGATAAATTTTTTAGTGAGAAACAAAAACTTTTACTAATCATACCAAAGAGGGGTTTAAGCTATCTTTCATGTCTATAATCCACAGCATGCAATAAGTAAAAGACATTTTTTTTTTTAATTATTATTATTATTTGCTGATTAACCCAAAGTTCCTTCATTTATTCATGAAACTAGTAATCCAAAATAACAAACTTTTTAATCTAAAATTCGGCAGCACCTCCTTTAAAGTAGGAGCAATCCACTCAAAAACGAGCTATTATAATCAACGCATTTACAACCAAATATCCATTCAAATAGCATTTTCTCCACAAAAACCAAACCAATTTCAAATATTCAATCCCCCCCGCACTTAAACTTTTCATTGTCCTCAATGAAAACAAAGTTAAGAAAGGAAAAGAGAAACTTAGCTGGTCATGTGAGCTGTTTATGGATCAGCTCCAAGTTTGTGTTAAGTTCTGGAAGACTCGCAAAATTTAGACTTTGAAGCGCGGTGAAGCACCAAGCAGGAAGTGAAATGTCCTGTCTAGCCCTTTGTATTATGTTTGCTCAATCTGCCAGAGCAGCTTGGGGTAAGGCTGGTGCTAATTTCAAAACAAAAAGAACACACAAAACTAACATGAACTATTAAAAAATAAAGAAAGAAAGAAAGAAAGTGCAGAAAAATAATCTTGGGTTGCCTCCCAAGCAGCGCCTCCGTTTAGAGTCTTTGGCTCGACGTATCTCTTAATCCTTAGAAGCTCAGCTCATTAAGGGCATCGAAAAGCAATTGCTCAAGCCCTACATTGTTTACCATCTCATCTAATAACATCTCTACATTATCAACTCCAATCTGTGCAAGATGATAAAAAACATGGTTAGTAGCACCTACTTCTTCAAGTGAACCTTGTTCATCAAAAACATTGATGTTAACAGTGTGACCATTATTACTTAAAGTAACGCTACCATTAGCTACATCAATCAACGATTTTGCGGTCTTTAAGAATGGTCGTCCTAATAAAATTTCAGAAATATTTTCAACATCAATAACATAGAAATCAGCATGGAAAAATAATTGTTTAATTTGAATCAAAACATTTTCCAAACAACCATTTGGAGAAACACTATTACCATTAGCCATGTAAGGAATTTCATTCGTGTTCCTCAAAGGTCCTAATTCAAACTTATCATACATAGAAGAAGGCAAGATATTTACAGAAGATCCTAAATCTAACACACACTCATGAAAACCAGATTTTCCAATTTTGCAAAGAATAGAAAACAAACCAGGATCATCACACTTTGGAGGGGGTGCACAAAATTCAGATTCCTTACTAGACTTATTAAGAAAAGCATCCAACAATGATTTATACTTAGGAACCATTTTCACAGCATCTAATAACGGGATTTTATTACCTTTCATCATTTTCGGGCTTAAACTACTTCTATTCTCCAGTTCTAAAGACTCATCAATGGTGACCTTACTCTGTTTAAACACAGCATTTGCTTTTGGGTTCGGAAAAGTTTGGGCTGGGAGTCTTCCTCCCAATTGAGTCTCTAAGTTACTTAAGGAAGTGCAAATGTGGCTTAATTGAGTGTCAAGTTGTTGAAGATGGGAATCTGTTTTATTTTGATACTCAATGTTTTGATTATGCACTTGTCCTATTTGAGTCGCCAACTGTTTTACCATACTCTCTAGTGAAGGACCTTGAGATTGGGTAGAGGGGTTTTGTTGACCATACTGCCTTGGTCGATTATTTTGCAGTAATTGTGGTCTATTTCCATACCTAAGATTAGGGTGGTCTTTCCACCCTTCATTATAAGTTTGTGACAAAGGATCATACTTCCTATTTTGTTGACTAGAAAAACCCCCTAAGGCATTAACATCTTCACTCTGTAAAGTAGGACATTCATCAGTAGCATGAGAAAAATCAGAACAAACACCACAAACTCTGGATTTAGACTCATTACTAGCAATTTTAGAAACAAGAGTAGCCAAAGTAGCAATTTGTTGAGAATTTTCTTGCAATTGATTATGAATACCACTTATATCAATTTCATTTACTCTTTTAACATCATTTCTAGTGCTAAACTGTTGTGTATTCTGAGCCATATTAGAGATTAATTTTCTAGCTTCAGTAGGTGTTTTATCAACTAATGCACCCCCACTAGATGCATCTATCATACCTCTATCATTAGGTAACAAACCCTCATAAAAGTATTGAATTAACAATTGATCACTTATTTGGTGTTGTGGACAAGATGAACAAAGCCTATTAAAACGTTGCCAGTACTCATATAAAGACTCATTATTACTCTGTCTAGAACCTATACGACTCGCACGAAAGAATCTTGCAAGAAAAACTTTTTCCAATTCTGCCCAAGAATTAATGGAACTAGATGGAAGTTGCTCATATAACCACTCTTTAGCATGATCTTGCAAAGAAAAAGGAAAAGCATGCAATCTAATATGCTCCTGTTCTATTCCTTCGGGATTCGTAGAAGAACATACAACTTTAAACTCTTTTAAATGTCTATAAGGATTCTCACTTGCGTTCCCATAGAATTTAGGGAGAAGATTAAGGAAACTTGAGTTCAGTTTGAGGGGATTCTCTAGCTCCGGAAAGACAATGCAGAGAGGATCTTCTCCTGTTTTAGGGGCTCCCAGTTATTTCAATGTCTGTTTTGCCATGTTGTTATATTCAATCGGCAATGGATCTTCTAATTCAAGTGCTGGTTCAGCACTGAAAATATGAAGAAGCTCCTCTGGTTTTGCTCCGTTTTAAGGCTTGCTTCTTTATCGTACGTGTACATGCACCTATAAAGAAAACATAGATTAATGAGAGATGAGCTTGTGTGAAAATAAATTTCTGGTCAGAACCAAAATATAGGCAAAATAAAGAGTTAATATCAGTTATTCAGATCAAACAAGACATGTTTGATTACAAGTAGTTCTAACAGTAAGTATGCTGAAATTTAGAAGCATCAGACAGTCTAAGAAATTATATGAACCCGACCAAGCAATCTCATGAAATTATCAGTTGTCATGTGTAAATCTCACAACTAATTTTGCTCAAATATTACTCAAGTAGAAATGTATCAGTTTAGCATTTCAACAAATTTTTAGCAAAATGGTCTCCCTGAATTTAGGATTAGGCATACAATCACACATACACCTGTCAAAATTCAACATGTGAGGCTTTGTTAATTATCAATAATATTCTGGTCAGATTTTTTTTTAGCTTTAGCAGTTCTGAAGTAACGAGATTAGATCTTCAGACAAGTAATTTCATGTAACTGGCAGTGATATACTAAATTTCAGTAGCAAAATCAGCAATTCAACATCTGAAAAGTAATAATATGACCATCAGATTAGTAATCCAACAGATCGGCAGAATGCTCATGCTCCAAAATTCAACATGTTAAGCTGGCTAATCGTGAAAATTATGCTACCAGACTGATGCACATCAAGACCTTAGATTATCATTTATATAGTATAGTAGCCCACAACAAAATATAAATGGACACAAAGTCTTTTAAATTCATCCTGCCTTTAGACCCTTCAATAATGATGCATTAGAAAGTAAAATGTTTAGTATATGCCATCAAATATTTGTCAGATCAAAGTATAAATAGCAGAAAACCAGTGAAAGACAGCATCAAAATTATAATTCTTAGCACCATTTAAATACCAATAACCAAAATACAAGTGTGTTACCTATTTATCATTAGCTAAAATTATATTGATTAGTTCAATTTTGGGGGACAAGCACAAATCATGCAAAAAGTAGTTAAGAAAACATGACATATACTTGTCTACAAATATGTGAGTTAATATAGATTAAGCTTGCAAAAACTCGGTCAATAAACAAGCATTATTCGGTATAACTCATTATCATGTCATATTAACTTCTATAAGTTATGCTAACTTCGAAAAGAGTATATAAATTCTTGTACTAGCAAACAATTAGCTAAATCATTCATATCATATGATAACATACTGATCCAACATTCGAAACAAGATATGAGAATTCTAAATTCTACTAAACTTAACTAAGCATCCATCAATTTACAAGTAAAATACTCCACCAAGATAAACAAAACGAATTGTAGTCATCTAACCTCTTTAAGTCTGACAAATACAATGAAGCTTATTAAATTAAGTCATGAAAAACAGGCACTCCTTGACAAATTCAAAACATGCAGACATACACTACTAAAGCCGACTTTCAGCAATCATGAAAAACTGATGACATGCATGGAATTAACCCACTAATAGATTATAAAATAGTCAACCTCAAATAGCAGTTAATTTATACATGCTCTTCACATATTCAAATAACAAAATTAGCAGAAATTAATTAAACCATGAATTTATAGAACATCATAAATAATCTCCCTGGCAATGGCGCTAAAATTTGATACGTGTCGTTTCCCGTATAAATTAATTAATAATTTACCTTAACTTAAACCTCAAAAATATTAACAACTAGTAAAAAGGGTAAGTAAGGGTCGAACCCACGAGGAGATTGGTTAACTCTATAAACTCAAAATTAAACTCGAAACGTAAACTATATACATAAAAGAGTATTATTCACACTATGTACATGAGATTTGGGGGGTTTAAATGATAATAGTCAACTAATACAACTATGAAAAATAGGATCTAAACTACTATATACAATTGACGACAGACTTAACCAACCCTATTCATAACTTTACTCGATTTAACTTATTGGAAATTATAACTAACCGGCCTTGCACGATTAATCAACTTAATTACTAGACTAACTGTAGAGACTTTAGTAACAAAGACTCCCTATCTCCCTTATTTGAAACCAATTGCGAACTAAGCCAAAATCGACTCTAAACCATTCTAATTAACACAAATATGTTGCAACTTGCATGAATTAGTCTTGGCAGCATTAATATCTAGGAGACCTCATTAGTCCTAACTAATCTAATCACTTAAATGTCAGATTAATTAGATTGAAATTGCTTTCTAATTTAAACCAAACCGTAATCGCAGACTCGATTTAAAATTAGGGACTACTCTCCTATACGATTCAAACTAAGCCGAACCATATAGATAGCAATAATATACAACTAACAACATGAAAGATAACAATCAATATCGAATTGCAAATTTATTAATCAAGAACAAGCAAATTTCAAATACCAATTAAATCGAAAAACATAGTACTATCAAGATTCAATTATAATACCAATAAACCAATAAAAGTATCTCATCAAATTAGCAAAGAACATCAAATAAATCAGTAATATGGAACAATTAAGTTAAGAAGAAGACTTATGAAATAAACTCCCAAGAACACCCGAATAAACCCGGCTTCGACCCCGCGATTCACCTTCGTTCTCGTACTACCTTGGATGCGAGACTAAGCTGACCTCCAATGGCTATCTTCTGTTCACCAATTGCCCACTTACAAACTCATTCGAACGATCTCGCTCTTTGTATAATTGTTGGCTAAGTTGTGAGTTTTTAATTGGAGAAATACGAGCTGAATTTATAACCAATTGCATGAACTGAATTTGCGAATTTTTCTTGGCCAAAACTCTATTTTGTGAATCTGATATCTTCATCGCATTACTCATCGGAGGATTTAGATAAAATTGCAAGATTAATGGGATTTGGATGATTATCTTTTCAATGGGGTCTTCTGCTGACTTCACGCCTAACTCCTTATCTTCTTCTTCTTTTTTTTTTTCCTTTTTGTTTTGCTTCTTTTATTTGATGATGAAAGAGCACGTGAATGTGAATTAGATAACCACACAATTTGGACCTCCTTTGATGCTCTACATTAGCCAAATCCACTTCATACTCCACTTTCTTTCCTATTAAAAACAAACAAAGTATTATTAAGTATCAATTATTATAATAATTGCTATAAAATAAAATACTAACATAAAATAAGAACTATAAATATTAAATTGACTAATTTCTTAAAATAAATAAAAGAAAACGATTGTAAGACTAATATTAGGGACTAAAAATATGGTATATTATACACTTATCAAAGATATTCAAGAAGAGTTACAAGAATTACACAGAGCAATACATTAAAGTGATAAGGCGTTGTTAACTTACAAAGAGAACAGTGAATGGGTAGATAATATGAAGTTTGATATTCAATACAGGTTCTTTAGTCTCTTTGATGATAATGTTTTTCTTAAAGAAACTATAGAAAAACTGAAACATGATAACATACTTTTGAATGTGGAATTATCTTTGTTAAAACTTAGTGTTGATACTCCTAACTCTGAAGTTCCTCCACTTATGCATTATCCGAATTTCAAAAAATTAAAATTTTATTTGGAATATCTAAAAACGGATAAAGTAAGACATGAGGGGGAACTTGAAAGGGCTAGCTAGGAAAGGAAAGCAACCCGTAGAATATAAAGTTCCAGATTGGATTACTAAAGCTCGGACCAAGAGAACAGAGGGACTAGGTTTTAAAAAGAAGTTCATAAAGGAAAAGAAGTTTGTAGATCTGCCGAGTAGTATTGTTTGCTATTTCTGTGGAAACACAAGACACAAGCAGGTTAAGTGTCCTAAGAAAGAAAATAGCACAGAGAAGAATGAAAAACATGTAGAACATATTTGGGTTAAGAAAGATAACCCCACTCTTGTTACACAGGAACCCAAGGAAACCTGGGTTCCTAACACTAACGTTTGATTCTTCATGCACGTTCCAGCGAGGGGGAATATGGTACCTCAACAGTTTGTTCTAAGCACATGATTGGAGATAAATCTAGATTTCTCTCACTGGATGCCTATTATGGTGGGATTGTGACCTTTGGTGATAATATGAAAGGAGATATAGTTGCTATTGGAAAAGTAGGAAGGTCAAGTTCTAGGGATGTCAGTGGGGCGGGTCAAGTAGGAGACCCGCCCCATCCCCGCCCCAATGGGACGGGGATGGGTCTCGGTTTGGCGGGTGGTGGGGCGGGGATGGGGATAAAAACCATACTCGCCATGGGTGATGGGGCGGGGGTGGATTTTAAGTTGTACCCGCCCCATCCCCGCCTCGCCCCACCCGCCCCCACTTCGTACCCGCCCCATCCCCACCTCATACCCACATCTATATATCTTTTAAAGCAAAATTACATACTTTTATTCTATTTATAAAATAATTACATGAAATACAATATTAATTATAATACTTTGTACGACACTTATATTATAACACAAAAATGTGTATAGAATCTTTTATTTTATAATTCGTATTAATTATGAAAAATTGTGTATTTGAGATACGGATATTAGGTGGATCTTGGGTGGGGATTAGGCGGGTCTTTGGTGGGGATTAGGTGGGGATGGATATCCAAGTGGGGGGTGGGGCGGGGATGGTTTTGGAGTTGTACCCGGTAGGGCGGGGATGGGGATGAAAATTGGACCCGCCGCGGGGATGGGGATGGGGATTGGGATGAAAATATTAGGTGGGGATGGGGATGGGAAGGCCAACATCCGCCCCGCCCCGCCCCATTGACATCCCTATCAAGTTCCCATGCTATTGGTAATGTATTTTTGGTCGAGGGTCTCAAACAGAACTTGTTAAGTATCTCACAATTTTCTCACAAAGGTAAATTTGTTAGATTTACTTCCAATAAGTGTAAAATCATCCACAATAACATTGGGAACATAATCCTAGAAGGAACTCGTAAAGGGAACACATATGTTGTGGATCTTAACGAGGTTCATAACAGCAGTCTAACATGTCTTAGTGTTATTGAGGATGATCCTCTATTATGGCATAAGAAATTTTGTCATGCATGTTTTACTTTGCTTGATAAACTTAGATCAAAGGAATTAGTGGAAAGACTTTCTTCCATTAAGTTCCTATATGATAAAGTGTATGATTCTAGTGTTAGCGGTAAACAGACTCGAATTTCCTTTAAATCTAAAAAGATGGGAAGTACTAAAAGACCTTTGGAACTTATTCATATAGAACTCTGTGGTCCAATGAGAATCCAAAGTAGAAGTGGTAAGAGATATGTAATGGTTAATTGTTAATGATTATTCAAGGTATACTTGGGTGTTCTTTCTTGTTAGTAAAGATGAAACGTTTGATGAGTTTGTTGCCTTTGTGAAGAAAGAACGGAGAAGAATAGGTAATCAATTGATACATCTCAGATCAAATTATGGAACAGAATTTGAAAATTCCAAGTTTGATAAATTTTGCACTAAAGATGGAATGGATCATAACTTCTCTACACCAAGAACTCCACGACATAATGGTGTTGTGGAACGCAATAACGGAATCCTTGAAGACATGGCTAGAACTATGATGATTTCAAGTGTACTGCCTAGGAAATTTAAGGAAGAAGTAGTGAACACAGCATGTTACATTCTCAACAGAGTATCTGTTAGAGCCATCACCAACAAAACTCCCTATGAACTCATTAAAGGGAGAAAGCCTAATATTTCTTATTTTAGATGTTTTGGTTGTAAATGCTTTGTTCATAAAAATGGTAAAAGCAATTTGGGAAAGTTTGATGAACGTAGTGATGAGGCAGTATTCTTAGGATACGCCTCAAACAGTAAAGCTTATAGAGTTTATAATAAGAGAACAATGTGTGTTGAGGAATCTGTACATATTATATTTGATGAAATTGAACAGTTAATTGATGTACAGGCTTATGATGATGATTTTGAAATTGGACTTGTTCGGAAGCAGGATCCAGATGAAGAGTCAATATCATTGCTGAAGCAACAACTTAAAAATGAAGGTAAAGCAAATCCAGAAGCAAATGATGCACCTACAATTGAGAATGCAATAGGAACTCCACAAAATCTAGAACATAATATAGAAAATGAGGAAGTTCCTGATGAAGTGCAAATCACTAGGTGAAAATAGTGCTTTGGCGGCGGTTCAAACCCGGTCTAAGGCACCGGTTTAAACCGCTGCCTATGTGGGGGTGCCAAAAACCCAGTTTTTAGCACCGGTTCAAAACCGGTGCCTTAGACCCAAATAGGCACCGGTTAACCGGTTCCATATGCCCAATTAGGCACCGGTTAACCGGTGCCTTTAACTGCTCTCCCGCCATTTTTTTTGGATAATTGTAAGAATAAGGAATTTCATTCCCTTCAGGCAACATATCACTTAATGCGGTCAACAAAGAAGTAAAACTGATGTCCGTCCACCCATGCTTCGACTTAATGTTGAAAAGTGTTAGCACGGCCGATAGTTTGGAGTATTTTTTGCACCCGGGACACAAAGGCTTTTTGGAAGCCTCCGATAATAACTCAAACACTTCACCTTCAACATTATGCAACATCTCATCCACTTGTTCATCCTCGACCTCATCCGCCTGATCATCATCGGCTCCATCCTCACCATTATCAACAATATAGTCATCATTCTCGTATTCCTCGTCCACATGAATCTCATTGCTTCTAACACGCACATCATTCCAATCAAGATCCCCACTATACTCTCCACTTTCTCCGTGCCAAATCCACACATGTTATAATTTCCTAAACCCACGACATAATACATGATCTCTAATGATTTCAACACTATCGACCACATTCACATTATTACAATCAACATAAGGACAATAAAGGCTTTTGCCACCCAGTTTACGTTGATAAGCTAAAGCCCTCTCGCAAAACTCTTGAACCCCATTCCAAAATTCCAATGTATCGCGTCTACCATACATCCAACCACGATCCTTCTCCATTTAGTAAATTGTCTCTAAACATATATAGCAACATATAATTTATAATGTGTAAGTGCTACATATTTTATGTAAATCAAATTCAAGTACAAAACGTGAATATACCATTCATATAGTGAAAAAATTCATGTTTCCAAAGGGTCCTTATCACTCCAACCTAACCCATACTTGAATGTCTACTCTAACTAGTGAATGTATGTCAACTTTCCAATTTTAAGCAAAATCCGGCAGCATTTCCCCCTAGTTCTCCAAGTACACGATGTAGATAATTAATTACCCACATATGTACCCAGAGAACATAGTGAGGAAATGGTAAGCCAAGATGTTCCTTAAAATCGAAAAAAAAAACATACATTCACCACCTAAGTGAGAGTACACATTCAAGAATAATCCCAACCGGGGACTATTCAAGACTTTCTCCAAATGAGAAAGCCTTGAATGGGTATCTAGGCATATGATGATGCAAGTATTCTATATATTGTTGTATTTATTTGCAGTTAAACAATACACAAGTTGCAATTTCATGAATAAACTTTTATTAAATGGATAAATAGAAAGAAATATAGCTAAGTAAATTTTATAAGTCATACCAATATAGCAACTACCCACTTGAGCTCAATATGTAGTCCTCAAGCTAATTAAACTCGTGCTTCAATTCACATATGAATCTATATATTAAAAAAACAAAAATTAGCAACGTCACTAATTCTCTAATTAATATATTCACAATTCTCTAATGTATTCACAATTCTCTAATTTATTCACAACTAATTAAGTGGCAATATCACTATTTCTCTAATTTATGCACAATTCTCTAATTTAATCACAATTCTCTAAATTATTCACAAATCTCTAATGTAATCACAATTCTCTAATTTATTCACAATTTTCTAATTTATTCACAACTAATTAGTATCAAGGTCACTAATTCTTTAATATATTCACAATTACCCATTAAAACAACCTAAAACACATTAAAATATACAAAAACTCAACTAATTAAGTAACATTCTTACTAATCTCTATTATATTCATAATTACTCATTAAATCAACCTCAAAATAACCCATTAAAACATACAAATTTTTCAACTAAGGAACAAGGTAATGCAAAATTACTCTAATCTATAATATGTATTCAAAATTACTCTAAACATACAAAATTACTCTAATGTATAATATGTATTCAAAATTTCTAAATAAACAACCAACGCAAAAATTAAAAAAATTAGGGTAAAATTATATATATACATTCCTTGACTTTAATTTTCTTAACAATAATTGTTCAAAATGCTATTGAAAATAATAGAATTACATATTTCAAAATAATTGGTCAATTTTTAACAAAAAAATAAAAACTTACCCTAAATTAGTTGGAGGTGGAAGAAGCTAAGGGGATGAGAGATTGAGGACGACCCTCGCGCTGGTGGAGGTAGCAGCGGTGGTGCGCACTAGTGGAGGCAGCGCGGAGGTGGAGGCGATGCGCGCTGGTGGAGGGAACAGCGCGGAGGTAGAGGCGGTGCGCTGCTGTTTCAATTCGAACAATGCTGGTGGCTGGAGGCCGGTGAAAGACAGAGAAGGGTAGGGCAGGGAAAAGACAAGTGCAGGGGAGAATCAAGGGCGGTGGTTTTCGACAATGTTGGTGGCCGGTGAAGGTGGCGGCTGTGGTGGAGGGAAAAGGGGGAGGTTCGTTGTTCTTCAATTCGTCTCTAATGAAAGAAGTCGGGTTAGAAAGGAATGAAAGAGAAAGAGAGGAAGGAGAAGAAAGAAGTAGGAAGGCCGCGTTTTTTAATTTTTGAAAAAGACCCAGTTTAATTGGCACCGGTTCAAACCGGTGCCTATTTTATTTTTAGCACCGGTTTTAGTTGAACCGGCGCCTTTTGCCTTTGTTTAAAAACCCGCCCAATTTTGGGCCGATTTTTGGCACCGGTTTGGCCTGAATCGGTGCCATATGGGGGTGCCTAATGCTATTTTTCTACTAGTGAATTGAGAATCAAGTTGAAGTTCCCACTGAAGAACCAGTCAACCACAATGAAGAAAGACTGTATCCAATCTAGGACTTTACACCAAAGCCTTGGAAACATCAAAAATCACATCCAGTGGATGCAATCATTAGGAACTTTTGTGCATTCTATGCGTTCCTTTCTTCTATGGAACCTAAGAACTATGTAGAAGCATTAACAGACGCTGACTGGATTAATGCTATGCAAGCTGAGCTTAATGAGTTTGAAATAAATAAAGTTTGGCATTTGGAACCTAGACCTAACAAGAATAAGACAATTGGATTAAAATGGGTATTCTGGAACAAGCTAGATGAGCATGGTATTATTGTCAAGAACAAGGCAAGACTTGTTGTACAAGGTTTCAATCAACAGGAAAGAATTGACTATGAAGAAACATTTGCTCTTGTAGCCAGGTTAGAGGCTATTCGCTTACTTAGCTTATTACTTTTGCTGCTTATATGGGATTTAGGTTGTACCAGATGGACGTTAAATGTGCCTTCCTAAATGGATTTCTTGATGAAGAGGTCTATTTGGAACAGCCTCCTGGATTTGAAAATCCAGAGTTCCCAAACAATGTCTATAAGCTTGACAAAGATTTTTATGGGCTGAAGCAAGCTCCCAGAGCAGGGTATAAAAGATTATTTAAGTTCCTTTTGAAAAATGGTTTTAAACGTGAAAAATTGATAAAACTTTGTTTTTAAAGTCAAATGGAACTGATATCTATGCATGTTCCAGTGCTATATGTATTTCAAATGATCCAGTTCAACACTCAAAGGTAAAACATATCCACATTAGGCAACACTTTCTAAAAGATAATGTGGAACAAGGGAATATTAAGTTAGAATTTTGTCAAACTGAAAATCAAATTGCATATATTCTAACCAAGCTCTTGAACAAAGAAAGATTTGAGAAATTAAGATTGGAACTTGGGATGATCAAGCTAATTTGATTGCTGCTAAAGTTCCAAGATATGGCAAGTCAAAAATAATGTAAATAGAGCTAAAAGAACATTTAGCACAATCTTAGTGTGCAAAACATAGCTGAAGTGTCCCCGTTGTTGATTACTAGAGGTTAGTTCACTAAACACTTAATTGTATAAAGTAATTAGTAATGTGCATTCCATGTGTGTGTAAATCGAGTTCCAAATACTTGTATTTTCATAAAATAATTTCTTTTTGGAAATTAAATGAATTCGGAAAGAAAAGGATTTTTGGTAAATTGATCCTGATTAAAACTGTTTTAAAAATTAATTGAACTTGTTCAATTAAATGACTAAACACTTAAACCCCACGTTTCCATCACACCGCTTAATTAAATATAAAAGGAATCTCTCACCCACCTTACATCATCACTGTCAAATCAATTTACCCACCCTGAAAACTTTCTACAACCTTCCTAAAACCTTTAACAGCAAAACCATGGCCATCATTACTTCCCTCGGCTCTTCTGAAAACACTCAAAACAACCGCAATTCTGAACAGGAAGAAGTCACCTCACTCCCCATAATAACCTACAAAGAAACTCAAGCCGAGAGTGAACCAAACTCATCCTCGATCAAGCAAAACCCTAAGCCTGCTGAAACAGAGAAATTAACTTCCAAGTCAATTCTCGAATAATTAAGATAGTGGAAGCAAATGAAAGAAAAGAGAAAAATAGTAGAAGAACACATTAAGGAAGTGGATGAGTTTGTAAAGAAAATAGAAGATTCTGAGAAGAAGGATTCCGAGAAGGAGGAGGAAGAGGAAACTGCAGATCAAGCGGAACTTGAAGTCACAGGCAGGGAGCTATGTTGTTGGTCATCGAATTAATTTAAATTGGTGTAGAAAATCTAGGTTCCTACAATTTCTTGATTTAATTAAGTTCCAAGGTTGGGAACATCTCTTATCTAAAGCATCAAATAATTGCATGTATCCGATTGCTATGATTGAGTTTTGTCAAAATTTTCAAGCAAAATTGGGTGTAATTTCTAGTGAAGTTGATGATGTTAAGATTAAATTTAATGTGGAAACCCTAGGTCAGATTCTGAAAACTCCAACTGAGGGGTATGAGACTTACATAAAAGGAAAATCAAGTGTTAGGGTAGGAAATTTTCTAAGTGGTGATATAGTTAAGGCCTTGGGAGGAAAAAGGGGGAAGAATGTATTGAGTCACAATGATCTGAGCCCCATGAACAAACTGCTATTTAATATTGTTAAGAAAACTATAGTGCCTCGAACTGCCAAGAAGGGAGAAGCATGTCTCATGGACATGGCAGTTATCTTTTGTCTGTTGAGAAAGATAAGAGAGAATTTTCCTGCCTTAATGTACCAGCACTTAGCTCATTGTATACTTGGAAAAACAAAAGTGGGGTATGGAGAAATTCTATCAACAGTTTTTGAGTCACTTGGGGTAGTGCTAAAAGGAAAGTATAGGTGTAGGCGTCGCTCGAAGTGCGCCTACGTTAAGCATGTTCTGAATATACTTGGCACTCATAGGAAGTGGGAATTGACATAATACAATTAGGGACAAGGAAAGTAGGGAGTCGCCAACAAGTTTTTAAGGAACTTGTAAACCGTTCACAGATCATAAAAGGTAACCACGATTAAGGGACAACGATTGACCCGTGAAGGTTACACCCCATTCATAATCCTTGAGATTACTAACTCCATATGGTTCGGAACAATGAAAGGAGGATCGAGAATGATGGTACGAAGTGAGTCATGGAGTCACATTCGCCCGTATTGGCCTCTACTCAATTCTTATAGTGAAAAGTGATTCCTGCGATCTCAAAGGCATACAAACAGAGATTCAATTTGCTCCAAACTATTATTAAGCTAAATTGGTTTAATATTAATGCAACACATAATTCTAATATATTGGTGATCACTTTAATTAATAACTAGATTAAAAAGGAACCTAAACCGGTCGTCCAAATTATCTTATTATGCGTGATTTTCAATTACATATTCCCTTTAAACATGCAATATAGTGATCATAATAACAATAGAATAAACATTAATATTGGAAGCAATTTAACAATAATAGTGTTAGTCAAATCAAATATAAAATAACCTTAATCATGATACTAACAATATTAAAATAAAATAAGAGTAATTAATTAATTACTCACATTCCGCACGTTCCTTTAAATTGCTACACACTAGTAGAAAAAAGTAAAAAGGCATCGCTCAATTGCCACCAGTTTTTAAGAACCGGTGGCAAAAAACAGGGGAAAAATGGGCGGGGACATTTTTGCCACCGGTTCAAACCGAACCGGTGGCAAAAATATTATTCCCACCGGTTCAAAACCGGTGGCTTACTAATAAAAAAAAAAAAAAATCTGGCCCTTAAAACACCCCAAACCCTACAATTTCACCCACCATCAGCCGTTTCACACCCACCTCCCCTCATTCTCTCTCTCTCCTCGATCAGTTTTCACACCCACCTCCCCTCATTCTCTTTCTCTCTCCTCGTTCAGCTCAGATCCCCTCTCCCCTCTTCTCCTTCATCCTCTCCTCCTTATCTTTCTATCTCCTCTCTCCCCTCTCCTCCTTCTCTTTCTCATCTTCTTTGATCTACACCACCACCTCGAAGAACACCACCGCAACAATAACACCACGAATACATGCATGAGCAACAACGACTTAATCGAGGTTAGGGTTTGATTTTAATCGATTTTTATTTGACTTTAATTCGATTTTAATTCGATTTTACTTTGATTTTAAACGATTTTAATCGATTTCTTCTAGGTTTTTAAATTGATTTTTTCGGGGTTTTTTATTAGAATTTTTCTGGGTTTTTGAATCAAAGTTTTGGGTTTTAAATTCAATTTTTATTCGGTTTTTATGTGATTTTAATCGATTTTCTTCGGATTCTTCTGGGTTTTTTATTAGAATTTTTCTGGGTCTTTTATTAGATTATTTCTGGGTTTTTTATTAGAACTTTTCTGGGTTTTTAAATCGAAGTTTTGAGTTTTTAAATCGATTTTAATTCGATTTTTATGTGATTTTAATCAATTTTATTCGATTTCTTCTGGGTTTTTCAGGTTTTTAATTCGAATTTTTCTGGGTTTTTTTAAATCAAATTTTCTGAGTTTTAAAATCGATTTTAATTCGATTTCTATTCGAGCTTCTTATGGGTTTAATTCGATTTTAATTAAGGCTACATGCTTTTTCTGGGTTTTTTTTAATGATTTTAATCAATTTATGGGTACATGCTCGATTTATAGATACATGCATAGTATTCTGAGTTTTTTTTCGCAGCTTATGTATATTAGTCGATTTATTTTTTTGTTTTGATTGATGCAGGTATATTGATTTAGATCTTAAATCGAAGAATCATGATGCAGGAATATTGTTTTTGATGTTGTATGAGGTTTTTTTGATTTTGAATCTGTAACATTTTTTTATTTATATTGTAATTTTTTTTTATTTATATGTTGTAATTGATCAATTTTATTGATTTATATTGTAAATAAAATTTCGATTATATAGATTGATATTTTTTGATTTATATTTTGATGTTTGTAATTTTTTTTACTGAATTGTTTTGTTATATATCTTTTTGAAAAAGACAAAAAAAAAAAAGGTATACATGTTATTGCCACCGGTTAACCGGTGGCAATACCTCTTTTTGCCACCGGTTTTGAACCGATGGCCTTGCTTCGGAGTATTTCCACCCCCCAAATGACCACCGGTTCAAAACCGGTGGCATTGGGGGGTTTTGAACCGGTGGCCAATTCATATTTTCGCCTAGTGACATCATGAATAAACTGTTAGTAACTTCAATAAAAAATGTTGCCAAAAAAAAAAAAAACTTCAATAAAAAAATATAAAGTAAATGAAAATTAAATTAAATTCAATAAAAAGTAGAGTTGATTTGGTCCAAACCCTCAGTTATTTGTACCTTTCACGCCTTGGTTTAAGGACGAAACCTCGGATTAAGTATAGACTCCTTGGAGCGCTTAGGGGAATTATTATGCAAGAATAAGGAGGCTAGAAATTAGTTTAAAGAGGGATAAGAGAATGATTTTTGGTGTAAGGTGAGAAAGAATGATTATTGGTGCCCTAAACTACAAAGAGGGGGTTCCTATTTATAGGGAAAATGAGCAGAGAGAACACACGAAACCCTAACAAGATAAAAAAAAAACCCTAAAAATAACACCGCGACACGGCAGAGCACACCGTGACACGGCGCCAAGCACCGTCAGAAGGCGGAAGGCACCGTTAGACAGGGCACACTCCCGTGACACGGTGGACAAAAGTGCGACGCGGGAAATATTTGACCTACGGGAAGTGAAAACGCGTGAAGGGTTTACGCGGAATAGACACGAGAAAATTTCGTGAAACGGCACACATCCCGTGACACGGCAGTGTCCACCGTGGCACGGTACAGTACACCGTGTCACGGTTTGGGAAAACGCGGAAATTACACGGAACATCCCCGTGTCACGGAATGGGCACCGTGACACGGGAAATTGCACTGTGTCACGATGCAAAACCTGTGACACGGTGCAAAATCCCATGACACGGTGGATTAAATGTGCGACACGTCAGCATTTTCCGCGTCGCGGCGTTTTGCTGTTGCGCGGTAATTCCATATTTTTTACCCGTTTTTAAAATCATCATAACTTTTGATCCGTAATCGGAATAAGGCATATAATATATCATTGAAAAGATTATCAAGTCTAATTTCCAACCCAATTAAAATCATGTAAAATAATTTGTAGATTTTAATATATGGCTATTTTAGTGGAAGGGTGTCGGTTTTGGGCCGAGTTTAGTCATATCTTTTTTGTTATAGCTCGGAATTGGGCTTATGACATATGGTTGGAAATCTTATTTCAAGGCCTATTCAAAAAAATTATAATTGTTTCAAAATTATAAGACCAAAAAATCAGTTTCCCTCGGTTTTGCGATGTGGACACGAAAAGTGGATAACAAGCTATAGTTTAGGGAAATGAGCTAGGAAATGGATTAGCTCATGAAATATATTGGATAGAACATGGATTTAAGCACTCCAAAGATTAAATACTCAACCCGACCAATAATGGCGGTGAAAGGTGTTCATCATCGGGTTTGGTTTTGGGGAGACATTTTTAGGTGTCTACAATGGGGGTCTAGATGAGAAGCCTGAGAATGTCATCAATGAAGACACTCTAATTGGAATAAGTTTAAAAGTGGTTGATGGAAAAATTAAGAATGTTGAGGAGAGGAAAGAAAAGGAAGTTCCTAAGCAGCTTGTGAGGAAGAGTAGGAGACTATCAGCAAGTTCTTTCCCTCAAACTAGCATGGAGCAACCTTTAGAGTTGGACACTGATGACAAGGTGCTTGAGGGATAGGTTGCTGAGCTCTGTGATAAGTTTGAGTTGGCTGAGAAGCAACTTAAGGAAGCAGCTAGGAAGATACAGAAACTGGAAAAGACTGCTCTGGGACTAGAGAATAGTTTGAAGCTGCAAAAGTTGGAGTTCTAGAAGTCTATCAGGGGTCTTGAAACAAAATTGGAGGAACACATTAAACACACCTAGGAAGACAACAAGTAGATTCTTGAGCTCCTTCGAACTTAGTCCAGTGCCTATTCAACCCAGCTTACTTAGCCTAACTCTACCTAGCCTTTTCATTTATCTTGGTTTTAGTCATGAACAATTTTATTTTTAGTTTTTGAACAATATATTTTGGACTGTAATGTTTTTAATTTGCAAAACAGGATGTTATCTATTTTAAATGAATATTTGGAAAGTTGCCTATGCATGTGTGATAAGTGCAAAATATACCATATTTTTAGTCCCTAATATTAGTCTTATAATCATTTTCTATTAGTTATTTTATGAAATTAGTCACTTTAATATTTTTAGTTCTTATTTTATATTAGTACTAGATGTAAGCCCGTGCGATGCACGATTTTTAAATATTTTATTTTGTACATTTTTTTTTTGTAATTTCTTAATATTTTTTGTTTTTATTTTCTATTCTATTATTTTTAACATTAATTTAAGGTAAAATATTTTGTTAAGTTTTAAATTATTCTTATTCAAATTTTACGTATATAGAACTTGAATATATAAATTGAAATAAATATTATCTCATTCATCGGATAGTTAGATAAAATCATTAAATCAAAATATATTTTTTAATTTCTAATTATTTGTTAAAATAATATAAATCCTAATGTAAAAGATAATTTTTGTTTTTTTTTCATAATTTAAATATTAAATTACTATTTTTTTGTTTTCAATTCTCAAATTTTATTTGTTAATTATTTCTTAAATGGCGACTGAAAATTAAAATTCTAAATTAATTATAAATCTAAATTTTCATTGGTCGAAATATTACTTTTGCTTATGTGGCGTGCGATGCACGAATTTTATATACATTTTGTATATAAATATTTTTTTGGTAATCTCTTAATTTTTTTCTTGCATTATAAGTTTTAAAATTTTGTATGAAAGTATCATATCATCAGATATTTACATAAAACCATTAACATCAAATGATAAATTATATTTTTTAAATATCAAAATATAATTTTTAGTTTTTTAATTAATATAAATCCTAATATCTAAAGATAATTTTTAGTTTTGTAACAAATAAAAATGATAAAATTTAGTGTTCTTAAATAATTAAAATCCTAATAAATTACTATTCGTCATTTTTACCTATGTGGAAAAAATTTAAAATTTCAATCGTCACTTTTGTTTAGGTGGCGAGTGATTTTTTTAATTCTAAAATAAAATAGAAATCTAATTTTTAATTGGTCGAAAATATACCTTTTCTTATGTGGCGCTCCAAATGCTCTCCAAAAATGCCTACTTTATCTATATATATTAGATTTTATTTTATAGTTTTGTTTATAATATTTGATACTTAATATTATACTGTGTGTTTTTGGTAGGAAAGCAAGAGGAAAAGAAAGTGGATTGATCAAATAAAAGGATGTTAGCCCATTTGGTGTTGTGACTCCCTCTGTGAGGCGGGCTGCTGTTGGTTCCAGAGGTGGTTGGATCCCCCCTGCTGCTGGATGGATGCGCATCAATGTGGATGCTGCTGTGCGTGAGGGGTGGGGTGTGGGACTTGGTGCTGTAATTAGAGACGACCATGATGTAATTGTTGCTGTTATGGTGCGCAAATTGACGTCTTTGGTTAGTGTGAAAATGGCTGAAGCACTGGTTGCTAGAATGGGGGTTTGTTTAGCGAAGGAGTTAGGCATGCTGCAGGTGGATCTTGAGAGTGATTCGACCTTTGTGGTGGCTGCCATTAATAAGCCTAGAGTTGGTCGTGCTCCTGTAGATTTAATCTTCGATGATGTTGCTTTGATGCGTGAGTCTTTTCATGGTTTTTCTTGTAATCATATTAGAAGGGGAGGGAATTGTGTTGCCCATATGGCTGCTAGAATTAGGCCTGATAATGATGTTGAACAAATGTTTGTTTCTTCATTTCCGCAAGGCCTTGTTGCCTTGTCTGATGTTGATATCAGTTGATTAATACTAATTTGTGCTCGCTGAGCATCCCTAAAAAAAAAAAGATGTTAGCCCATTTTACTACTCCAAGCAACAAAAGCATCACGTGTTTTCATCATCAAATAAAAAGAAAAACAAAGAAAAGAAAAAAAATAATAAAAAAAAGGAAAATAAGGAGATAAGAAGAAGTTAGGCGTGAAATCAGTAGAAGACCCAAAATAACAAAGAAAAGATAATCTCCAAATTCCATTATTCTTGCAACTCCATCTAAATCCTTCGGTGAGCAGTATGATGAATAGATCAGATTCACAAGATAGAATTTTGGCCAATAAAAATTCGCAAATTCAGTTCATGCAATTGGTTATAAATACAACCCGTATTTTTCCAATAAAACAGACAGTTTAGCCAACAATTATACAAAGAGTGAGATAGTTCGAGTGACTCGTAATTGGGCAATTTGAGCAGAGAAGATAGCCATTGGAGGGAAGCTTAGTCTCGAGTCCAAGGTTGATCGAGGACGAAGGTGAATTGCGGGTTCGAAGCCGGGTTTATCCGCATGTTCTTGGGAGTATAGTTAATAAGTCGTCTTACCTAATTGTTCCACTTTACCGTTGTTTTGGATTATTTTTGCTAAGTTCGATTAATTACTTTGATTGGATTATTGGTGTAATAATTTGGTAGTTGATTTAATAATCTATTTGCATAATTCATTTCAACTTACTGATTATTTAAATTTTCTTATCTTAATTATTAAATTTGCAATTCGGCATTGATTGTTATCTTTCAAGTTGTTAGTTGTGAATTATTGCTATTTATATGGTTTGGCTTAGTCTGAATCGTATAGGAGAGTAGTCCCTAATTTTAAATCGAGTCTGCAATTACAGTTTGGTTTAAATTAGAAAGCAATTTCAATCTAATTAACCTGACATTTAAGTGATTAGATTAGTTAGGACTAATGAGGTCTCCTAGATATTAATGCTGCCAAGACTGATTCATGCAAGTTGCGACCATACTTGTGTTAATTAGATTGGTTTAGAGTCGATTTTGGCTTATTTCGGAATTGGTTTCAAATAAGGGAGATAGGGAGTCTTTGTTACTAAAGTCTCTACAGTTAGTCTAGTAATTAATTTGATTAATTGTGCAAGGCCTATTAATTATAATCACCAATAGTTTAATTCGAGTAAATTCATGAATAGAGTTGGTTAAGAGTGTCATCAATTGTATATAGTACGCAGTTTAGATCCTATTTTTTATAGTAGTATTAGTTAACTATTATCATTTAAACCCCCCATTCTCATGTATATAGTGTAAATATAGTTAACGTTTTGAGTTGATTTTGAGTTTATAGAGTTATTAATCTCCTCGAGGGTTCAACCCTTACTAACCCTTTTTACTAGCTGTTAATATTTTTGAGGTTTAAGTTACGGTAAATTATTAATTAATTTTATACGGGAAACGACACGTATCAAATTTTGGCGCCGTTGCCGGGCAGATTATTTATAATGTTCTATAAATTCATGGTTTAATCAATTTCTGCTTATATTGTTATTTGAATATGTGAAGAACTTGTATATATTAACTTCTTTTTGAGGTTGAATATTTTAGAATCTATTACTGGGTTATTTCCATGCATATCATCAGGTTTTCATGATATTTGAAAGTCGGTCTTAGTAGTGTATGTCTGCCTGTATTGAATCAATCAAGGAGTGCCTACTTTTCATGACTTAATTCAATAAGCTTCATTGTATTTGTCAGACTTTTAGAGGTTAGATGACAACAATTCTTTTTTATCTTGGTGGAGTATTTTACTTGTAAATTGATGAATGCTCAGTTAAGATTCTCATGTCCTGTTCCGAATATTCGATCAGTATGTTATCAAATAATATGAATGATTTAGCTAATTGGTTGCTGGTATAAGAATCTGTAATTTCTTTTCAAAATTAGCATAACTTATGGAAGTTAATATGACATGATAGGTGTACAAGTAGACAAGTATATGTCTTGTTTTCTTAACAATGTTGCATAATAAGGTTTTGTTGATTGTAAACTAATGATGATTATCTATCTAACGTATTTGTTAAGTTGTGCATAGAAAGAACAAGTTATACTTGGAACAGGATACAAGGAACCGGAGCAATGACAAGTATATAAGGAACTTAAGCAATATATGATAAGCAATAGAAGAACAAGAACAATGATGAGTGTTATGGTTGATAAGCATGATGATGGCTAAGGAACCATGAAGGTAACTATGTTAATAGGTGTTTGCATATGTTAGCTTCATAAGGTAAGTACACTATGCATACATGAGTTGTATATGTGTAGGAGTATTTACATAAGCTTTAAGTTTAATTAGTTCTCTCACTTGAAGTTTGTTTATGACAAACAAACTTCAATCTAATGTTTCTCTTAAGTGTTTATGTGAAGACAGCCTAAAGCAGGTTCTCCCACAAGAACCAAACCACGAAGGAACCAGAAGATATTCTCTAACGAGATGCAGAAGGAACCTTTGGCAGGCTTTCCCACGAGAGCCGAAGCATGTTCCCTAACAGGTACATGAAGAATTCCATGTTCCCTTACAGGTACATGAAGAGTTCCCTAACAGGAACTTAGTTCTCTAACAAGAACTATCTAAGTTCCTTAACAGGAACTTAACGTTGCCCCGAGATCTAGAATACATCAATACTACAAGATTCCAGAACAAGAGTTTCAAAGAAACAACATGAAGACGGAGAAATCGAAGTATATCGCTCTAGGATTCATGTAAGTATGTTGGACATAAAAGTCATTCTGGAACAAATCAAAAGAACCAAGGTGAACTCATGATAGTCAATGAAATTAGAGTTACTGACTTGTCAATAACTCAGAGACTGTCAGAGTTCCGAAACCTAATCGGAACTTAGGTCTGCACGTCATTAAAGGTTGCAGGTCGAATTTAATGATATAAAAATTTACCTAATACGTGCATATCTTTTAGGGATTTGGTTTTACAGAATAAAAATATTTATTTTCTAATAAATCCCTTTTAGAAAAAGATAAGTTATTTTTGGAAAATATTTTCAGTAAAATAAGTTTTAAATAAAATCTAATTTTATGGCAAGTATATCTTTTGTTAAAAGATATGGTAAATATATCTTTTGTAAAAAGATATGGTAAGTATATCTTTTATAAAAGATATGACAAGTATATCTTTTGTAAAAAGATATGGTAAATATATCTTTTGTTAAAAGATATATTAGTATATTTGGAATATATAAGAGTTAGATAAAATCTGATTTTATGGTAAATATATCTTATTATTATTGATATAATATATTCTTAACAAAAGATATATTTTTGGAAAACTTATTTTTGGAAAATATCTTTTATTTCTATCTTTTAATAAAACTTATCTTTTACGAAAAGAATGATTTGGGTGTAATAAATATGCTCATATGTATTCATTCAAAGTCGAGGCTGATGAAGCTTAGTAGTCGTGCTTAATGGTTTCATCCTTCACCACGAAGCTAAGTCAAACATCCAGGTCGAAGTTCCAGTAAAATTCCAGTTACAGTTCGTCCAGTAAGTTCCAGACAGATCTCGAGTGTCCAGCATATTAGTTTTATCTCTTTATTCATTGGTATGTATTTAGAGTTATTCTTTGAGATCTTGTAATTAGGAAAAAGGGTTTTGAGTGTTTTATGTATTGGGGTGTGAGAGTTCGTGAGGATTCTCGTTATAATTGTATAGTAAGAGTGCAATGTGTGAGCTTCTAGATGAAGTTGTGAGTTTTGTACTGAGGTGGTACAAGTATTTAGTACTTTGGCAGTACGTGTAGTGCTTTGGTGGTACAAGTGAATCTAAGTGTGGTGCTTAGATTGGGTAGGATAGGGTCCTATCAAGTAGCAAGTCCAGTGAGGAACTTGTGAAATAAAGGTCCGTGTTTAATAGGTTGTAACTTGGTGTTTGCCCTATTATAGTGAAGAGGTTTGTGTTTGAAATCCCTAAGGTAGGGTCGAGGTTTTACTTCCATTTGGGCCCTGGATGGTTTCCTCGTAAAATCCGCTTTGCATTGTCTAAGTTCCTAACAACAATCAGTTTTATATTCCCCGAAAAGTAGGCACTAGGAACATACTACAATTCACCCCCCTCTTGTAGTATATCATCCGAAATAACAAACAACTTTTTGCATGATTTGTGCTTGTCCCTTGAAAATTGAACTGGTCAATCTTATTACATCTAATGATAAACTAGTAACACACTTGTATTTTGGTTATTGGTATTCAAATGATGCTAAGAGTTATAATTTTGAGGTTATCTTCCACTGAGTTTCTGCTTTTATACTTTGATCTGACAAATAAATTATAAGTGGCATATACTAAACGTTTTATTTTCTAATGCAACTGTATTAAACTCTAAAGGCAGAATAAATTTAAAAGACTTTGTGTTCATTTATATGTTGTATGGGCTACTGTATAAACGATAATCTAAGGTCCTGATGTGCATTAGTCATAATTTTGACAATCAGCTAGCTTAACATGTTGAATTTTGCAGCATGAGCATTCTGCCAATCTGTGGATTACTAATCTAGTCATATTATTACTTTTTAGATGTTGAATTGCTGATGTGCTACTGAAAATTTAGTATAATTTCTGCCAGATACATGACATTTAAAATTTCTTGTCTGAATAACTGATCTCATTACTTCAGAACTGCTAAAGCTATAATTCTTGCTTAGATTAAAAACAAAAAAAGAACTGACCAGAATATTATTAATAATTAGCAAGCCTCACATGTTGAATTTTGACAGGTGCATGTGTGATTGTATGCCTAATCCTAAATTTAGGAAAACCATTTTGCTAAAAATCTGTTGAAATACTAAACTGATATATATCTACTTGAGTAAACTTTGAGCAAAATTAGTTGGGAGAATTTGCACATGACAACCGATGATTTCATGAGATTGCTTGGTCGGGTTCATATAATTTCTTAGCTTGTCTGATGCTTATAAATTTCAGCATACTTACTTTTAGAACCACTTAATTAAACATGTCTTATTTGATCTGAATATCTGATATCAGCCCTTGATTTTGCCTATATTTTAGTTCTGACCAGAAATTCATTTTCAACCTACTTTTATGCACTACTATCACATGCTCATCTCTCATTAATTTATGTTTTCTATATAGGTGCATGTACGCGTATGATAAAGAAGCAAGACTTCAGCACATAAGAGCATACATAGACTTGATAAACGGAGCAAAACCAGAGGAGCTTCTTCATATTTTCAGTGCTGAACCAACACTTGAATTAGAAGATCCATTGCCGATCAAATATAACAACATGGCATAACAGACATTGAAAGAACCCCCTAAAACAGGAGAAAATCCTCTATGTATTGTCTTTCCGGAACTAGAGAATCCCTCAAACTGAACTCTGGTTTCCTTAATCTTCTCCCTAAATTCTATGGGAACGCAGGTGACAATCCTTATAGACATTTAAAAGAGCTTAAAGTTGTATGTTCTTCTATGAATCCCGGAGGAATAGAACAGGAACATATTAGATTGCATGCTTTTCTTTTTTCTTTGCAAGATCCTGATAAAGAGTGGTTATATGAGCAACTTCCATCTAGTTCCATTAATTCTTGGGTAGAATTGGAAAAAGTTTTTCTTGAAAGATTCTTTCCTGCGAGTCGTATAGGTTCTATTAGCAAGGAAATTTGTGGAATTAGAGAGAATAATAATGAGTCTTTATATGAGTACTGGCAACTTTTTAATAGGCTTTGTTCATCTTGTCCACAACACCAAATAAGTGATCAATTGTTAATTCAATACTTTTATGAAGGTTTGTTACCTAATGATACAGGTATGATAGATGCATCTAGTGGGGGTGCATTAGTTGATAAAACACCTACTGAAGCTAGAAAATTAATCTCTAATATGGCTCAGAATACACAACAGTTTAGTACTAGAAATGATGTTAAAAGAGTAAATGAAATTGATATAAGTGGTATTCATAATCAATTACAAGAAAATTCTCAACAAATTGTTACTTTGACTACTCTTGTTTCTAAAATTGCTAGTAATGAGTCTAAATCTAGAGTTTGTGGTGTTTGTTCTGATTTTTCTCATGCTACTGATGAATGTCCTACTTTACAGAGTGAAGATGTTAATGCCTTAGGGGGGTTTTCTGGTTAACAAAATAGGAAGCATGATCCTTTCTCACAAACTTATAATGAAGGCTGGAAAGACCACCCTAATCTAAGGTATGGTAATAGACTACAATTTCAATAGTTTAACCAATTTAAGCAACATGGTCAATAAAACCCATCACCTAAAACTGCTAGCCCTTCATTAGAAGACTTGGTGAAACGGTTAGAAAACCAAATAGGATAGGTTCATGATCATGGTGTTGAATATCAAAAGAAAACTAACATTCACCTACATCACATAAACACTTAAATAGGTCAAATAAGCACTACTCTGAGTAATTTGGAATCTCAACTCTCGAATAGACTTCCTACTCAAACAATTGCCAATCCAAATGAACATGCTAAAGCTGTAACACTTAGGAGTGGTAAAGAGTTAGCAGAACCTAAAATGAAGAATAGAGCAGCAGAGAAAGAAGTAGAAGTCAGACCTAAGGATATAGTTAGTGAGAGTAAGGAAAAACATGATAAAGAGAGCGAGAAAGAATCTATAGGGAAGGGTAATTCTGATGTGAATTTTGATGTTTCTCGTTTTAAACATGTTCCTCCTTTCCCCTCTCGATTTGCTAAATCTAAGAAAGAAGCTATGGACAATGATTCTAGAGACTTTTAGGAAAGTTGAAGTTAATATTCCTCTTCTTGATGCTATTAAGCAGGTGCCACGCTATGAAATGTTTCTTAAGGAACTTTGTACTAATAAAAAACAATTTCGCCCTTATGAAAAGTTAAGTATGGGGGAAACATTTCAGCAGTAATTCAAAAGAAACTTCCCCCTAAATGTAAGGATCCTGGCATGTTTTCTATTCCATGTAAAATTGGTAACTCTATTTTTGAAAGATGCATGCTAGACTTAGGTGCTTCAATCAATGTCATGCCTAAATCTGTATATGATACCTTGAATGTTGGTCCTTTGTCTAAGACTAATGTGGTTATCCAACTAGCTGATAGATCTAATGCATTTCCTTTGGGAGTTTTAGAAGATGTACTTGTTCAAGTGAATGAATTAGTTTTTCCTGCTGATTTTTATGTGCTTGATATGGGTGAGAGATCTGATAATGTTCCTTTATTATTGGGTCGACCTTTTCTAAAGACTTCTAAAACTAAAATTGATGTTTATGAAGGTAATATAACAATAGAATTTGAAGGTGAAATGATTAAATTCAACATATTTGATGCTATGAAATACCCTAATGATATCAATAATGTTAATTCTATAGATTCTTTTGATGCATGTGATTGGATGGCTCGGGATGTTTTTGATGAGTGGTGTGAAAATTTGTTTGCAAATGGTATTTTTGGTGATGTTGAAAAAACATAAATGGTTAATTCTTCTGTAGAGTCGTCTGATGTGATTGAATATGATGTTTCTAATGGATGTGAAAGATATGTTCCTTCTATTGTACCTAAATTGATTCCTTCTACTGTTAAGGCACCTGGATTAAAATTAAAACCCCTTCCCTCTAATCTGAAGTATGCTTATTTGGGTGATAATGAGACTCTACCTGTTATTATTTCAAGTTCCTTAAATGAATCTCAAGAGACTAGGTTATTGAATTTGCTTAAAAATCATAAGGAAGCTTTAGGATGGACTTTAGCTGACATAAAAGGCATTAGCCCCGCTATGTGCATGCATAAAATTTTTCTTGAAAAAGATGCTAAACCAACTACAAAGGCTCAACGTAGATTAAATCCTTCAATGATGGAAGCAGTTAAAAAGGAAATTCTAAAGTGGTTAGATGCGGGAGTGATTTACCCTATTTCTGATTCCCAATGGATAAGTCCAATTCTTGTGGTACCTAAAAAGAGTGGAATAATTGTTGTAGAAAATAATGAAGGAGAACTTGTCCCTACTAGAATTTCTAATGGATGGAGAGTTTGTATTGACTATAGGAAGCTTAATCAAGCTATTAGAAATGATCATTTTCCCCTTCCATTTATTGATCAGATGTTAAAAAAACTTGATGGACAATCTTATTTCTATTTTCTAGATGGTTATTCAGGTTACACAAAAGTACCCATTGCCCCTGAATATCAAGATAAAACCACTTTTACTTGTCCTTTTGGTACATTTGCTTTTAAAAGAATGCCTTTTGGTCTATGCAATGCTCCTGGAACATTTCAAAGATGCATGATGAGTATATTTTCTGATTTGATTCAACAAGATATGAAAGTGTTTATGGATGATTTTACTGTGTTTGGTGATTCATTTGATATATGTCTTCAAGCGTTATCTCAAGTTCTGAAAAGATGTGTTGAAACTAACCTTGTTTTGAATTTTGAAAAATGTCATTTTATGGTAAACAAGGAGTAGTTCTTGGTCATATTGTTAGCGCTAAAGGTTTAGAGGTTGATAAAGCTAAAATTGATGTCATTAGTTCTTTGCCATATCCTACATGTGTTCGTGAAATTAGATCATTTTTAAGACATGCTGGCTTTTATAGACGCTTTATTAAAAATTTCTCTAAGATTGCTTCACCTTTATGTGCTTTGCTTGCTAAAGATGCTGTTTTTTACTTTAATGATGAATGCAAGAAATCTTTTGATGATTTAAAAGACAAATTGACAAGTGCTCCTGTGATTAGACCCCCTGATTGGTCTTTGCCTTTTGAAATTATGTGTGATGCTAGTAATAAGGCTGTAGGAGCAGTTTTAGGGTAAAAGAAGGATAAAGAGTCTTATGTGATCCATTATGCTTCTAAATCACTAGATTATGCTCAATGCAATTACATTGTAGCTGAAAAAGAGATGTATGTTGTTGTTTTTGCTTTAGAGAAGTTTAGGCCCTACTTAATTGACACTTGTGTGATTGTTTATTCTGATTATGCAGCTCTTAAATATTTGTTAAAGAAGAGTCACTCAACACCTAAGTTGCTTAGGTGGATGCTTCTATTACAGGAATTTAATGTGGAAATTAGAGATAGAAAGGGTGTTGAAAACCCAGTTGCTGACCATCTAAGTAGAATTGTACCCAAAGAGGATTCACCTTTAATAACTGAATTTTTTTCCCAATGAACAACTTGCATCTTTATATAGTGTTGACACTCCTTGGTATGCTGATATTGTTAACTATCTAGTGACCGGAACATTTCCCCCTACACTCACTAAAGCTCAAAAGAATATGATTATATCTAATTGTAAATATTATATGTGGATGATCCATATTTATGGAAATCATGTTATGACCAGATGATTAGGAGATGTGTAGACAAACCTGTACATGCTTCTATTCTTACTTTTTGTCATAATCTTAAAAGTGGAGGACATTTTGGTCCTCAAACGACTGCTCATAAGGTACTTGAATGTGGTTTATATTGGCCTACTATTTACAAAGATGCATATTTGTTTTGTAAATCTTGTGAACGTTGCCAAAAGACTGGAAATCTGTCTAAAAGAAATGAAATGCCTCAATCTAGTATCCTTATTTGTGAAATATTTGATGTGTGGGGTATAGATTTTATGGGCCCATTTCCTTCTTCTTTTGGTAAAGTTAATATCATTCTTATTGTCGATTATGTATCTAAATGGGTAGAGGCAAAGGCAGTTAAAACTGATGATGCTAAAACTGTTGTTAAATTTGTTAAGAGTCATATTTTTAATAGATTTGGCATGACTAAGGCCATCATAAGTTATAGAGGGACTCATTTTTGCAACAAAACCTTTGGTGCACTTTTGGAGAAATATCATGTAACCCATAGAGTTGCTACTGCATACCATCCTCAAACTAGTGGGCAAGCTAAAGTTTCTAACAGAGAAATAAAATCGATTCTTTAGAAAATGTTTAATACTAATAGGAAAGATTGGAGTCTTCGATTAGGTGATGCATTGTGGGCATATAGAAATACATATAAAACTCCTTTAGATATGTCTTCGTTTAGACTTGTTTTTGGTAAAGCATGCCATTTGCCTGTAGAAATTGAGCATAAATCTTTTTGGGCAGTATTACAATGTAATTTAGACCATGACCTTGCTTGAAATGAGAGGAAATTACAGTTGCTTGAACTTGAAGAATTGAGGTTATATACTAATAGAAAAAATGCTATTTGTAACGCCCTATTGGTAATCGGCATATGTTATGTTAGTTACTATAAGAGTATTAGTGATTGACATAGATTATGCAGGTTACAAATAAATTTGAATTAGTAATTGACATAACTAAGGTCAGTTACAAATAGTAGGTCAAGGATAGACTGACCAATTATTAGTAAGGAACTTAAAAAAAAAGGCTAGTTACAAGTAGTAAGACAAACTTTATTGACTATATTACTTGTAATGGACTTCATTAAAGTCGGTTACTAATGCTAGTGCTAGATTGCTATTTGCTAGCACGAACTTCAATTTTTTAAAAAAAAATAAAAAATAAAAAATAAAAATTAGATGTAGCCTAAGTTCTTCATTCCTATTCTTTTTTCCCCATTTCTTCACACACCCGCTCTAATGCTCTTCAAAACTTCTCTAAAGCTTTTCCAAAACTTATTATGGTTTGCTCTCAATCTCCACCTATATTATGTATTTTTGATTAATTTAAAGCGACTATTTGAAAAAAAAAAGACCTTACGAATTCTAGGGTTTGTGCTACTTTTATTTTAATGTAATGGAATATTTGGGTTTTTACTCAGTACATGATGGGCGGCATAGGGTGTAGGGAAGGGTGATAGGGCGGAGGAGATTGAGATGTGCGAGGCGGCGAGGCAGGGCTCACATGTTGACTGGCCGCGCCTGAGTACGCGGTGAATTGTGGTGTCGCCGTTGGTGCAGGGCTGGAAGATTTGGTATAGCTCTTTATTTCTGCCAAAATATTTGATTATGATATATTTGCTTGTTTTTATACTTCTATGAGGAATTTGACTAATTATCACTATTAGAGAAACAAAATTAACTTACAGCTTCTGATTTTAGTAATTTCAAGCTTAAAAATTGCTCTAGTTTTTAACAATGTAAGTTACTAGCACAATAGCATGTAGAAATTGGAAATTGTTCTTGTTCAGTAAATGTTTTGAGTTAATATGAACTTATGGTAGACTAATAATGTTCCTGTTTAGAGTAGAAAAGTCGATCCATGACTACTTCAATAGTTATTCTCGTGCATTAAGTGTCAGCTTGATTTTGTGACTTCTTGGGATTAAAGCTCGTCTTTTTCAGCGATATGATTCTGGAACTATACAGGTCTTCTTCTTTTCATTATTTTATTTACTATTTATGTAACAGCAAACAATTTGCATACTCATATTATTTCTTCTATTCATTAAGCTTTACTGTGAAATGTATAAACTTTCATAAGTATAGCAAGAAATTTATTTCAGGGCTTAAATAGACATTTGTGCCTTTCATTTAAACAAACAAGTGCAACAATTTCGACTCGGGTGATGGGTACATATGGTTAATGTGCACCAGATTATGCAATGACGGGTCAGCTGACTTTTAAATCAAATATATACAGTTTTGGTGTTGTTTTATTGGAGCTTATCACAGGAAGAAAAGCAATTTATAGCACAAAAGACGAGCGCGATCAGAATCTTGTTGCTGGGGTAAGATTGTTGTTTCATATGTTAGGTTGGTCTATTGTTACTTGAGCCTTTTGTTGCTTTCATGTGATTTGTTTTTGTTAGAGATGTT